GTGAGCGCTGGAGATTCACGATGTTGCCGCGCCCGTTGTCCGACGAGATAGCCGCGCGCCGCTGGAGATCTACCGCGTGAATTATGGAGCTGCCTGAATGCTCGCAGATTGATGGAGCTGCGTGAATGATTGGATCCGGCAGGTTCTACGTGGTCGTGGGGTCGTGTGATATTTTTTTCCGGACCAGGTACTGTACATATAAGGTCTGGGCTATACAGGGCTTGGCAGGATTAGACAGGGCTTGGATCTGGGCTACGGCGGGCCAGGAAAAAAACAAACTCGCGGAAAAAAAAATACCCCTCCGAAATTGGGTTAGGGGGAGCACCGGAGCAGGCCTGCAGGGACACCAGCGTCAAGTGGTACAGTTGGCGAGGAAGTTTATCCATGCTGTGCGTCACACATCGCAGTACCGGGCTGGATCCCTCTCCAAGACTATAGCTTCGTCCGCTCCCTCTGATTCAGAGATGCAGATTGTCTGAATTATACTTTAGCTTGCATTTCTGAAGGTTGTCGTGTACTCCCTCTATAAATAAAGAAATATAAAGCGTTTAGACTAGTACTACACGTAGAGCGATCGTACGCGAGTACTGGTAGCTTGCACCTGACCTTAGCCAGTGTCAAGAGTGCTCTGAATATACAAAGGCAACTGGAAGGCGAAAAGATTACACATAAGAGATTAAGATAAAGGTTCAGATCGATCGAAATAACATGACAGCTTGAACCGTGCTTCCTGCTGTCTATTTCTCCCGGCGGGGTCCTCTTACGGTTTGGCTCGAATCTCCTTTTCAACATAACATCATTCTAGTTGTTTTTGGTGCACCAAGACGGGGTCTAAGTTATGTCGATTTTTTCCACTTGATGAAGGCCATGTTGTCAGATTGTGGTCTCGTTTGTTCTTACTAAATCATTGTTTGTTGTTTTAAATTTTGGTCACCGAGAATTTTGGTTGGTTTTCAGTTTTCTAGGAATTTTTGTTGTTTTAAATTTTGGTCACCGCTTCTGACCACTCTGACCCACCCAAACCCCCCTCCCCGCCCCTCCCGCGCTTTCCTTCCGATGCACGTGCCGCTTACCGCGGCGCATTCATGCCGCCCTAGAGCACGCGAGAGGGATGGGGCCCCCGCCACCATCAGTCGCGCGAGGAGGATGAGGACCCGCCACCGCCGTCAGCCTCGCGGCCTTAGACCGAAGGCGTCCTTCGACGGAGGCAAGGGGTGAGGAGGATCGGAGGAGGAAGAGGCGGCGGCGCGCTCGTGGGATCCGCCCGAGTCGCCCCTCCTAGGAGCAACGCTAGGGCGATCCCGTTTTTTCGCTAGGCGTTCTGGTCACATACCGCCCCCTTGCCCATCTCCTGGGACGATTCTATTCTATTGATGCAACCGTCGGAGACTTAGACCATCTCCAACAGAGGCGCTATATAAGCCGCGCGCTGGAAAAGATGTCTATATAGCGTGCGACCAAAAACAACGCTTCAGCAGAAGCTGTAAAATAGAGCACGCACGAAAACAGAGCTGTAAATTTAGCACACGCGGGCTGTGGGCTGCAAATTTGGGGTGCCGGCTTGTGCGCGGGCTGCTGCATGTGGGGCCGCCGGGTTGGGCGCCGTGTTTTTGTGTGTCTGGTAAACCTCCCGCGCGTAAAAACACTATTTCAGCGTTGAAAAACTTGTTTAGCGCGCCGTCCTGCTGCGTGTCTGTTGGAGATGCTCTTATATTAGTAATTTATAAGTTGTGTTCTATTGATTGGACAACTGTTATTTTTATTGTGTTCCGAATCCCATACAAGTATTGTATTACGGATGGAGTTCTACCGGACTACGGCATGTCAACCGTGCTAGACGTAGCATGACTACAACTCTGTTTCGTGTCCATCAAGAAAGAGAGTTGTTTGCCCCTTTATATAGTACCAGCTAGTCATAGAATAGATGAGAGAGATCTCCACCAGATTAGTACGTAGAGGGTTTGTCCTCTCGTGTAATGTAATACTCCTCCTAATTATAGTGATACGCCTTTATGCGTTCCGTGGTTTTCTCCCGCAAGGGTTTTCACATAAAAATCCGTGTTTTTTTGTCTCGTTTATTTCTTGTTATTATCTAACAAGTGGTATACAGAGCTGAGGTTCATGTACGAGATTTGAGACGACAAGTTAGGGTTGCGGTCGTGGCCGCTGCACTGTGATTCATCCGATCGCTTTTGATCCGTCGAGACCGACAAGACGTTCCGCTGCGCACGGCGCAGAAATCAATCGAAGGCCGGCCCAGTGTTCCGGATCGGAGACTGTTTCCAGTACGAGCTGTTGTACGAGCCGCTGCAGCCGCGTGTCGCCAAGACCGACAGGAGTTCGAGGGAATCCATAGCCGCTTCGATCGGATACTACTCACCTGATCACGCGGAAGATAAATTGCAGCCGTTCCGCCGAGTTGTTGGCCTGCTTGCTTGAAGTCCCAAGGGCATCAACCTTTGCTGCGACTAGCCATAATGTAAGTAACTTTAGCAGTAATATCGAGTCCAACTCAACAAATTTGCTTATATGACAATGAATTAATGAGAAAAGATGTAGTTACAAAACTTAGCTAGTTACTGTAACATCACATGTCCCAATGCAATACGAGTCTATAACCTAATAAATGAAGCTTTGCATGTTACCACACTTATGTTACTACCCACTATGAAGGTAGTAACATAGTCTAAGGATATGTGTATGTTACTAGTATATGTTACTATGCATTATGGCTAGTCTGCTGCTGCATCTACACGTGAAGGCTCAGTTTCTAGGGATATTTTACTAGTAGATCAGCCAACTACTGGTATTCATTACGTGAAAGGGCAATCCAATTTTTTATTCTTAATCTGCTACGTTCACATGGCAAGACAACCAAATCAGCTATGTCCACATGAGAAGACTACCAGGTGCTATTTACTCCAGTTATCCGCTCTGCTAATTTAATTTAACAAGGAATTTTTCTTCGGCTTGTACTACTTGTGCTCATCGATTTACTACCCTTCCGATGTTGGATCATGACACAAAGTTTACCCTATGGCGAGTCGAGATGCGAGCGTTGTTGGCGCAAGCCGATTATCAGGATGCACTCAGTTTTTTTTCTTCAAGGTGGAGTTTTGGGGATTATGGCCTGTCGGGATAATGGATGCAATATTGCTGCAGTTATTTGAAGAACACAATTTAGTTTCAAGAAAAAAAGGTATGGAGGAGGTAATTATTAAGCCTGTTGGTAGCCAGCATATACTCTATTCTCTCCATAGTATTTTGCTATTATGCATGTGAAGGTTTTGTTTGATATTCATGTTCGTGATGAGAATCAGTTGAGGTGCAAGAAGGAGATTGATTTGTTTCTACTAGATACTACAACATTTAGCGCTGTTAAGTTTCAAGTGCAATTCAGTTGTCTTTGCTCTTTCAAGAGGGGTCTATTGCAGAGTTGAAACTCAGTTGCATATTAAGATGGTTCCTTCATCCGACAGTTGTTCTACAAGGGCAGTTTATGACCATGTCATGGATTTTCATTAACCACTACAAGTCGGCAGTTTTTGGGTGCACGCGATGCCATCCGTACCATATGCTCTTGCATGAGTATTGTTTGCCGAGGTTTGTGCTTTCTGTTTTGAAGCATGTTCAGATTCCGTGAGATGAGTTCTTCACAATGCGATGTGCACCAAGATGTTGCACTATGAGCTATGTCCTCGTTCAGGCACCACAGGAGATATGATGACTTATGTCATTTGATGATTGAGCAGTTTCAGTTTTTGAGGTCAGTGGCACAGACTCGGACTTTTATTGGGAGACCAAGTTTTGTTAGTCTGCTTTGTTGATAGTTGTGCTATTTTCTGGACGACCTACTGATTGATTTGCTCAATATGACTTCATGAGAAGTTTATTAGTCCTATGGACGTTTCCAGGCACAAGGTTTACTTGTGATGACTTTAATTGAGGAGTTGATGCTATCTATGATTATTGTAAGGGATTTCGTCTCAAGGTAGAGTGTTATTTTTATTGTGTTCCGAATCCCATACAAGTATTGTATTACGGATGGAGTCCTACCGGACTACGGCATGCCAACCGTGCTAGACGTAGCATGACTACAACTCTGTTTTGTGTCCATCAAGAAAGAGAGTTGTTTGCCCCTTTATATAGTACCAGCTAGCCATAGAATAGATGAGAGAGATCTCCACCAGATTAGCACGTAGAGGGTTTGTCCTCTCGTGTAATGTAATACTCCTCCCAATTATAGTGATACGTCTTCGTGAGTTCCGTGGTTTTCTCCCGCAAGGATTTTCACATAAAAATCCGTGTCTCTTTGTCTCGTTTATTTCTCGTTATTATCTAACATGTCCAATTTGGCCAACATACGCAACCTTATGTCAAAAATGAAAAGGAAAACACGCAACCTGAACAACCATAGTTCTGCCTAGGCGCGCGCATACACATGCACATCATTTCAGCGCCCCTTTCATCTAGAGTAGCTCTCAGATTCGTAGCTGTGCCAGCCTGCAAAGATCAAAAGAACAATTCTCTGGTTGCTTTTTTGGTTGGCTCTTTTGATTTAGCGAGGAGGAGTGCAGCACATACGTACTATGTAAAGAACAAAAGAAGGAAGAATCAATCATCTGGTTTCTTTTTCCTTGGCTTAATCCAGACGATGGGGTTGGCGAATCAAAAGCAGATAATTAAAGCACCGATGGGATGAAGAAAGAATCCATTGCTTTGGTTCTAGGGGAGATGGCGTCGGAGTTTATGCCAAGGAGCAGCAGCACGTAAAGATAGAAAGACGGACTCTTCCTTTAGCTGTCGGGACGACTTGTGTCGGACGCTCGGTGTTGCGGTATGTATGCTACTATATAAGATCCGTGCCATGGCGGACATCTTAAGCACGGAGACGGGAGACAGTCCTTTCCGTTGGCGACAGAGCTTTCGTGTGCGTGTGTGTGTGAGGGAGAGGGAGAGGGAGAGGGAGGGAGGAGGAGAAAGGGAGTGCCAGCCCGGAGATGGGTCTCGTCTCAGGTGCTCTGAAATGGTGGGAGGAGTGGCAGCTGCGTATCCTGGTGCTCAGCAGCCTATGTGTGCAGTTCTTCCTCTACTTCTCCATGTGGGTGCGTCGAGTCCCCGGCCTACGCAGGCTGAGGGTGGTGGTGTGGATGGCGTACATAGGAGGCGACGCCCTGGCAATCTACGCCCTTGCCACCCTCTTCAACCGCCATAAGCAGTGGACGACGGATGCGGTGGGTGAGAGCAGCAGCGACCTGGAGGTGATATGGGCGCCTGTTCTTCTCATCCACCTGGGTGGCCACGTGACATTGAGCGCCTACTGCCTGGAGGACAACGAGTTGTGGCTACGACATGTCATAACTCTGGTATCTCAGGTCACCGTCGCCCTGTACGTCTTCTGCAAGTGGTGGTCCGGCGAGTTGAGGCTGCTGCTGGCGGCAGTTATGCTCTTCGTCTTCGGCATCCTCAAATTTGGTCTCAAGCCATGGACCCTCAGAAGAGCTAGCTATAGTCAGATGCTCGCTTCCACCTATGTGTCCCTACCAAGAGACGGGGGGAAAAGAAGTCGTGATGGAGCAACAGTGGACAGCCCCCCTTTCCCTTGATGAATATGTGACACAAGCAAAGGCGACAATGTGCGAGCAACAAGCTGCTAACCCGCCTACGGCAATAGCAGTCAGGCACATTGATTACTTTGTGGACCTGTCTGCTCCGTACGGTGCTCGGCTAAGTGACCCGTGGTATCTCCAGAGCAACAACAAGAGGACGAGGAATGCATCATACAAGATGTTGCAAATGTGCTTTGATCAAATATTTGATCTCTTGTACACCAAAATGGGATATGTTGATGGAGACACCAATGTGGGATTCACTTCTTTTGAGATTCTGTTTACGCTTTTGCTTCCATTAGTGGCTTTAGCTTCCCTGATGCTCTTCGCCACAAGCAACAAGCATGGTTACAACAGCAGGGACGTCAAGGTGACATACATCCTTTTCTCTTGCACTACTCTACTGGAGTTCTTACAGTTATGGTGTGGTATTGTCACTACATGTATTCCTTGCCTGAAATTCATCGACGAGTATCTCGAGGGATGGCATGACTCTGGAGAGGTTCAGTGAAGCACCAACAGGGGGTGACCTTGGAGAGGAGTTGTGGGATAGCTTGAAGGTGCCATTCGACAGGAGTATCCTTCTTTGGCACATCGCCACAAATCTCTGCTTTCACCGGCCCGTGGACAAGCCGTCATCCTTCCCTCGAGGACAAAGTGACATTACGCAACGCAGTATGGAGATGTCCGACTACATGTTATACCTGCTTTTCATCCGCACCGAGATGTTGTCGCCCGGCACCAGACCGGGTCTCTTCACCGTCGCCATAGATGATCTAGAGGAAATCTTGAAGAACAGCAAGGCAGAGCTCCAGGATGAAGAAGCACTTGCTCAAGAGATTATTCAACAGACGGCCGGGGGTACTCTGATTCACAAAGCTTGCAGGCTCGCCATGTCATTGATGGGCCTGCAGGAAGAGGAGATGTGGGAGATGATCCAGGGCGTGTGGGTGGAGATGCTCTGCTACTCTGCTAGTAGATGGAGAGGATTCCTGCACGCCAAGAGCCTGGGTGAAGGCGGGGAATACCTCTCCTATGTGTGGCTCCTCTGGTCATACATGGGGATGGAGACCTTGGCGGACAAGATTCACAAGCCCGAGTCTCCGAAAGAAAAGGAGATCCTTGTTGATGAAGATGAATTGGCTTCTTCGTCCCACCGTGGACTCAACCGCCAAACTTCAACAGCAGGTATCCCTAGCCCGGTGTGACTTCATTCCTTCCTGTTATTCCTGTTACTATGTGTTAGAAATTTATTACGATCTTGCAAGAGCGGCCACTTCTTTGGGTGCAGGCCACCATGTTTCATTTCCTTCCCCAGCGGATGTTATTTGTATTCCTATGAATATTGTGCTCCAATGAATTCTTCTTTCACCTGCAAAAAGAAAAAGGTTGTGCATATGCTGAGAGCGAATTAGATTACCCTGGGCTTGTAAGAAAATATGTGATGTAATGCGTCAGTTGTATCATCATAGGCACCCCTAGCTTTTAATGCTTATGATAAAGTTTGCAGTAATTATTCGTGGCCAATTGTATGCTTAATCTGTAGACCATGGTAGCTCTATTAAAACAAGTATCTTCAGTTGTGCATCAACTTGGATGCCACTGGCAGTATGGAAAAGTATCCGCGGGATCGGAGTGAAGACTTCAGTTAATGGAATAAAAGTACGGTGCCATACTCAAATATTATGAACTTGGTAAAATTGTTGTGCTGCCATCAAACCGGCGAGCGGCGGGTGACCTGCAACGGTGCGCAAGCAAGGTGCGATGCGGCGGGAGCTAGAAAAAGAAGAAACACGGATGAATCAACAATGGCGACCGCGGCGGCGTTTCACCTTGATTCCGGCGATGGCGACGGGGCTGAACGGGCAAAACGGCGGCGTGTCAGAAATCTGCAGAGCACGTGGCTGGACAGGGACACCGGCATCAAGCGGTACAGTTGGCGAGGAAGTTTGTCCATGCTGTGCGTCACACTTCGCAGTACCGGGCTGGATCCCTCTCCAAGACTATAGCTTCGTCTGGTCCCTCTTATTCAGAGATGCAGATTGTCTGAATTATATCTAGCTTGCGTTTCTCAAGCCTTTTCAGCATAACTTCGTTGTAGTTGCTTTTGTTGCATCAAGACGGGGTCTAAGTGTTATGTCGATGTTCTCCACTTGAAGGCCATATCGTTAGATTGTGGCCTTCATAGCGAAGCACGAGGGCAACCACAACTAAAATTGAGGGGGCGATTACATTATCAGTGGCACTGCACCCACAAATTATATGGTTTGCATGCGCGAATTTATTTCTTCCATTGCGAGGCACAGGCAGTGCACTCACACATTATATTTATTTTCCACGGGCACATTTGCTAGTAGAAGTCTAACTAATCTTGGTTTTCGCGTTCTTTTTCAGCCGCCATGTCGTGTTTCCTGAGCCGATCAAGAGGAAGTCGCATGGATGATCCCGCCACCGGCGCCGGGATCGCCCTTATGGGCATACCCACCCTGGCCGCCGGCGGCGCCTCACCGGCGCCGGGATCGCCCTTATGGTAATACCCACCCTGGCCGCCTTCGCCTTCTCTTGGGAGGCCTGGCCGCCGCGGCCTGTGGACGGCGAGCAGCGGACGGATCGCCCTGCCGGTGACTTCCCCTGAGGCTGGGGGCGCGCTTGTGGTCGCCTGCATGAAGTGGCTCGGGAGGGATGACACGCACAAAGCCAAAAGTAAAGTAATAACCGCTGCTCTAACGATCATGCTAATGCAAAATCGATCAATGTGCGCCTCCATCGCTACCGTGCCAGCTGCTGGGGGAGGAGGGAACGAAGGTGAAGACACTTGGAAATGAAGAATGATTTGTGGTGAATTGCCTCGTTGCCTTCTATTTATAACTATATAGGATCACAACATGCACATCAAGACAAGATCATAGCAAAAAAATCTACAGGATCCTAGAATCATATCGCTGTACAATCGGTTACCACGGGAAACAAATCATATTTATCCTTCCGGCCGGGGAAGGCGACGCCATGGATCGTCGCTGATTGATTCGCTAGCTGCGGCGAGGGCGGAACGAGCTCATGCTTTTGGTCACCCGCGTCCGCGTGCAATGCAACGGTGTAGCTTTGTTTCTTTTGGGACGTCGATAACTGCCATACGTGTGTCATGAAAGAAGATGCACCACACATCTCTAATGCAAATAGATTGCCACATCATCGCATGCATGCATGAATCTTTTCGGATTTTCAGTTTTTAAAATATTTTATCTCTTAAATGAAAAATTCGATTGAAGATCCGTTTTCATCATTAAATCCCTCGCGACGAGATCTTCAAAACTAAATCTCATATCGATATATTTCAGCGAATTTTTTTGGTTAAAAGTTGCCATCTCCATTGCATATGAATTGTCATGATGTTTACACTGAAGTTGCCATGATATGTTTGAACTATTTTCTTTTACATTTAAAAGTAAATTTTAACATATTATAAAATGGAGAATTAAGAAACTAGACTTGCCATGCACCATAAACTAAAATTGCCATGATATATGCACTTAAAATTGCCATGGTTTAATAAAAAAATATTTTCATGGTCAAAGTACTGGAATTGCCATCATAAAAAAACTAAAATTGCCATGATCTACAAACTAAAATTGCCACATGGCAATTTTAGTTTAAGCAGTATGGCAACTATAGTGTAAACATCATGGCAATTTCTGGGCAAAAAAAATTCGTCAAAACATATCAACATGAGGTCTAGTTTTGAAGATCTCGTCGAGACGAATTTAATGGTGAAAACAAATTTTTAGTTCGCTTTTTTATTTAGGAGATAAAACATTTTTAAGCCGAAAACCAAAAAAATTTCTGCTGATGTCATCTATTCATACGTGGCAAAATGAATGGTGATGAAGGCGTGTGGGCGATCTGCAAACGCCCACACGTGTGGGCATTAGTTTTTCCGTTCTTTTGCATGAACGATGCCGGTGACGAGCTCTATTTATGGAGAGGTGGATGCGCGCGGAGCAAGCTTGCGAGGAGGGGAGCGTCCCAAGTTGGACGCTGAACCGGCCGGTCCGAACCAGGCAAGCCGCATGGATCGTCCGCGTGGGAGACTCCATCTCCGGTCGCTTCGCTTGCAAGTTGCGACTCGTAAGAGCTCCGAGACTCTGAGGAATGAACCCCACGTCGTACGGTTCAATTCAACGGGCGTGTACGTGTGAACGCGGCGCAAGTGTCTAGTATTTCTCCATGGCAGCCCACTGCATGCATGCAGCATGCACTCCACTGGCTTGACTCGTTAAATTGTTATAGTACGCTTTTCACTTTCCCGGGGGCCGCACACGCTGGAGACAACATAAATAAAGCATGGAATGAGAAGAAAAATCATCATACCTCGATATCATATGAATATCGTAACTTTATAGCACGAAAAGCAGATTTCTAGTACAAAGATGTTTTTCAATAACGGCCGATAAGTTAAGCTATGTCTGGACTAAAAGAAAGCTTTTTATTATGTAGTGGAATGCATCTTTAAAAACAAAACTTGTGCGACAGGAGCCACCGCCAGAAACCTAGATCGTCTACAACAGCCTCCTTCCCCTCTCGCCGCTGCCAGAATGCGCCGCTGGGCAAAGGCCACGCGACGTCGGTGGTGACAGGGAGATCCTATTTGTGGACGGTGTTCTGGTGCATAGATTTTGGTGGGGAGTCTCTCTGTCTTAGTCTGGGCGATGAGACGGCGGCATTGCCCCAATTTAAGAATAATGACCTCCTCGTCCTATCCTCGTCCCATCATGTGCTTAGCACCGGTGGAGGGCAAGTGGAGGTGTGTCTCCGACAGAACTTCTCTTGGATCCGATCGGCTTTGGTTTCCATCGATCCGTCTGGATTCAGTCGATCTTCATTGTATTTCGAGTATCTACAGACTCTTTTTGACGTCCACTCCTCCAGGGCGACGATTTGCGATAAAGATCACGGCCGCCGACATCTTCTTGTCTACATTGACGGCTTTTCGGCCGATG